GACCCTGGGCCGGGCGTCCCGGGCGACCCCTGCCTGCCCCTGGGAGCAGCGCGGGGGCCCGGGCCCTGCTGCCTGGACCCCTGTAAACGGGGCTCGGTGCTGACAGTGTTTGCTCATTTCTCTTGGGAAACATTGGAATGCCGTAGACCTGGGCCCTGTTTTGTATTAATATGTAGGCGAGTTTCAGTTGGTTCCCTTTTTTTTTCTTCTCCAAAAAACCTCAGTGGCAAATATGTTTCTTACGTCCTGCGCCCTCCCTCAAGGTAGAAAGTCGAAAGTCTGTGTCTGGGGAAATTCGTGGGATAACTGGGAGCTGCGAGGGAGTTGCTGCTGCTACGGAGCAGGCCAGTCAGAGCTCTTCCTCCTTCCCTGCTGTCACTTATTCAAGGGTTTTTGTGACCAGAGGCTCTGTTGGGGACACTGCCTCACAGCAGCTGAGCAGGCAGGCAGGCGGCCACATGCAGCCACACCCAGCTGGGGCAAAGGAGGGCAGTGAGGAGGCTGGGTAAACGGGGTGCAGGGGCCCTGACATCCCTCCTCCGCAGCAGGGTTGCCCCCAGAGAAGGGTGTGCACACAGCTGGACAGGTGGCCACGGCCCTGCACCCTGTCTGCTGCCTCTGTAGCTTCCCCCACCTGCTCATAGGTTTATGTCCTGATACTGTGCCTTCTGGCTTCCATACCCTCACAGCCTCTCTCCAGGAATGGGGCGGTGGCATCATGACCCCACGGCCTGAACGTCCATGGGAGGCTGCTCCAATATTTACCAGACCAGCCAGTGACTGCCACTCCCAGTCCTCGTGCCCTTGCAAAAGCCCAGCGTGCAGAGAGCCTGGAGCAGTATGGCACTGGATCCCAGAGACCCACGAGGGAAGGAAACTATTCAACACCCTGCAGGTGTCGGGCCCTAAGTGAGGCCCTTTGCCACTGTGATGTCATTAAACCTCCCAATTATTCAGCAGGCAAGAACTAGTTTTTCCAAAAGGAGTGAAGCTCTGACAGGATAATGTTGGTGAGCCTCAAACATGATGCTGAGGCCTGGCTCTTGCGGCTCAGTTGGTCCCACACACCAGGGGGTTGCTGGTTCGATTCTCAGTCATGGCACATGCTCCGGTTACAGGTTCCATCCCCAGTAGGGGCGCGCAGGAGGCAGCTGATCAATGTTTCTATCTTTCCCTCTCCCATCCTCTCTCTGAAATCAATAAAAACATGTTTTAAAAAGATGATGATGGTGATGCCTAACCAAGGAAGTTGGACACGAAGGCCACACCTGTGAGCTCTCAGGTCTGGACCATGCTCTGTATGTCTATTGTGATGTTTGGTATGTGTGCCTTTTATTTGGGGCCACCAGAAATCACTTTGGAAGGAGCACGTTTCACTGGACTTGACTTGGGTTGTACAGGGGCTAAGTCATTAGAAAAGGGAGTAAACATATCGGGGCTTCCAAGGGGATAGGTGCTGGGGATTGGGGGGGCGAGGGATGTGCCTGACAGGGCCCTCGGGAAACTGGACAGAAAGGCTCCTGAGTGTGGGGTTTTGAAGGGGTGCTAATCCCTTGAGGAAGAGCCTTAAGGTCCAGATTGCTGTGGTATCAGCAGGAGACGCCCCACCCTGCCAGCAACGCCTGCAGAGAGGGAGGTTGAGCAGTGGGGCCCAAGGGATCCCTTCTCCCCCTTCACCTGGGTATGTGTGACACTCGACCAGATTAAGGGTGAAGGGTTGAAGTCCAGGTCCAGCCTGGTGGCTCTCACAGCTGATAGAAATAATGCTCCCTGGCGCTCCTGTCTTGTGCTATTTGTTTAGCTCTTTAATAATGAAGCCTTAATCCATGTGCAATTTCCAAAGGCCTTTCTTTCAATATATGTATATTTTTTGCTAATCCACACTCAAGGATATTTTTCCATTGACTTTTAGAGAGTGGAAGGGAGGGGCGGAGAAGGAGAGAGAGAAACATCGATGTGAGAGAGATATCGATTGGTTGCCTCCCGCACACCCTCCACCCTGGGTCCGGGGATCAAACCTGTATGTGCCCTTGACCAGAATCAAACCCGAGACCCTTTGGTGCGTGGGCCATTGCTCTAACCACTGAGCAACACTGGCCAGGGCTCTTTCAATATTTTAAAATTTTATTTCTCCTGGAAGGAAGCCATCTCTGCTTGGGGCTGGGGAGCAGATGCCAAGGTGCCTGTCCACACGGAGGCCTGTGTGCCCGCCCTCTTGTCTCCCACAAGGAGAGGACGGAGCCAGGGCTGCTCGTCAGGGGCTGCAACAAACTTCTGCTGACCTGGATTGAAATCAAGTTTGCAAAGCAGGGGGCTGGGTGGTGGGCGAGGAGGGAGACACCAGGACCCATCCCGGCTCTGGCACTAACATGCCAACGGCCTTGGACAAACCCTCCCCCCACTCCTGGCCTCCGTTGCCTCATCTGTAAAATGGGCAAATAGAGCTGGTGGCCTCTCAGTGCCTCCACCTCACTCCTCAGCTCCCACCCTGGACTGGGATGTGGGAGGAGCGCGCCCCCTTTTGGAGGATTGCGACTGGGCGATCATCCGGGGTAAGGATGCCACGTTTGGGAGGCTGAGCTCAGAGTTCTGGAGGCTTTCCCAAATTCAAACCTCTACAGTCCTGTAGGTCAGGGTCGAACTGAGAACCACAGTGAGATGCTAACTTCTACAAGAACGTTCAGAGCCAAACACAAAACCAAACCAGAACCTGCAGCACAGAGTGCTGGCAGAGCTCCAAGCAGCAGACGCGCCCCGTGTGGCGGTGGAAACGCAGAATGGAGCAGGGCTTTCAAAGCCAGTTCAGCCTGGCCAGCGTGGCTCAGTGGTTGAGTGTCCACCTAGGAACCAAGAGGTCAGGGTTCGATTCCTGGTCAGGGCACAGGCCCGGGTTGCGGGCTCAATCCCCAGTGGGGGCGTGCAGGAGGCAGCTGATCGATTACTCATCATTGATGTTTTTGTCCCTTCCTCTCTCTGAAATCAATGAAAACATATTTTTAAAAAAGCCAAGACCTGAGAAACTGCTTATTGTGTTAGTTTTGAAATTTGGAAACCAAGAGAATAAACATTAAGAAAAGGCTTTTTTTAAAAAGAAGATGAAGGAAAGAGAAGCAATTCGGCTGTTCCCTGAAAGGTCCGTGCTCAGCAGCCCCCCTCCTAGACGTGTACCCCGAGTGAAAATGTGTGTTCCTGTGAAAACCTAGGCCCGGGTGTTCACGGTGGCTTTCTTTACAGTGTCCCCAAGCCAGATGCTTGCACAGGGGCATAGCAGCAGCCCCCCCCCCGCCCGGGCCTCAAGCGGTGGGGGGGCTGCTCTGATAAAAGGGAATGGGCGATGGACACGAAGGGCGACGTTGGCTCCGTCCCCACTCAGCTCCATCCTCTACTGGGAGCTGGTCTGTGGGCCCCCTCACTGCAGAGATGAGCCGAAGAGCAAATAGCTGGGGACCAGGTGAGAACAGGAGAGACCACCTCCCACGGACGGGACACGCGAGAGGCGCAAAGGGGGCCAAAAGGAGAAAACCCTCCTGGGAGCATCTGGGGAAAGGAGCCCGGGAACAGAGACCCCTGCAGCCTAGTGAAAGCGGTGGGGATGCTGCGGCCCGGAGGTCGCCTTGGGAGGGCGGGGGAGTTAGGTGGGGCTTCCCTT